CAGGGGGGATGTTTTGCCTTTCACCCTTATGATTATGTCCTGTGTCAAAAAACCCTGAACCCTAAACCCTAAACTTACCTTTGGTTAGTAGGGAATGGAGGAATGGGAACTATTATAAGTACCATTACTACCATTCTTCCATTCCCTACTAACCAAAGGTAGGTTAAAACCCCTATAAAACTTAAACCCCTAAAGCCCCTAAAGCCCTGAAAAACCCAGGTATCCAAATCCTGCAAGCCTTAGTCTGAAAGCTGCGCTTAAAAACTGAAGGCCCGCACGACTCCGACAGCCTTCAACCCTATAAACCCGCAATTTCTAAACTCAAAGGGCTTAGTTGGGGTTTACGGAAGTGAGTTTATCGGTTTAAACATGTAACATCGTCTTTTAAAAAAAAGATATGTCTAAACTCAAAGGTTTCAGTTAGGGTTTACGGAATTGAGTAGATCAACCCTGAGCCCTTAAACCCTGTACACCCTAAACCATTTACGGGGTTTCCGAAAGTAGGGGACCCTGATGTAGTACCCTAGATAGTAGGATCCTGATTATAAGGACCCCAAAATAAGGTACCCGAATTTTCGCAAAGTCCCATGTGTAGGTGATCACTCTCTCGGACCACCTGCACATGACGCACTTTCGCGCAGCCAATGTCCTTGCCACAGCCACCCGGAGAGCGCTGCCACTTCGGCAGAAGGTCGAAGGCCCTCTACAGGCAAAGGGGGTTTTGGGACTTATAGGGTTTAGGGGTTTAGGGGTCTAGGTTTTAGGGTTTTTGGGACTTAGGGTTTAAGGGTTTAGGGCACACTGCTGTTTGGCTCCCCAAGCTGAACCCTAAAATGCCGGGTGGTCTTGGGGTGGGTTGTGTGCTATGGACAGGTGCGAGCGGCCTGGGTGTGCACACACCAGCAAACGCCCATGACGTCACCACACCCTCAACCCTAAACCCTTAAACCCTCAGCCCCCAAAGCTTCGGGGTTCTCCAACGCCCGAGCCACCGCATTGAAGCCATAATCCTCCTAAGGTCTCTCCAGGACCCTTTTAAGGATGTTATAAGGGGTTTTATGATGTAGGGTTTAGGGTTACCTTGTTAAGGGGGGCCCTTGAAAGGGTACCTGAGGTCTCCCAACCATCCGCTGCGCCGGCTCTTGTCCGTCTTCACCTTCGGATCTATCTTCATCAACTTGCAAGCTATGCTGCTCAGTACCGTATGGACAAGAACAGCCGGTGTATGGCTTAGGATTTTGATAGGGCCGGGTTTCTGTTTACGGGCTTCTGATGTTCTAACCGTTTTGCTGGGGTCTTCTTTTGGTCCATTTTGGGTTTTGGAAGGGTTCAAGGTTCAGGGAGCACACAAGCTCTCTTTTTGGTCTCGCTCGGATGAGAACATGCTGCGTTGAAATGCGAAACAAACTACCATTAATACAGGGTGTATAATATAATGGCGAATATGCAGACGACTATTAGGCTGTTGACGGACTAAAGCATCACCAAAAGATGACCGTGGACTGAATACTTCGATACTTGGTCTGTTGCTTCGGCCTGGCTAAAAAACGAAGGCTCCGCACAAGAGCTTCCAAATCTGGGAACAATGCGATCGTCGTTTGTATATATGACCCAATTCTCCTCAGTGGCAACAACATGTCCGCTACAGGTTGCGGGTATTTCTTTTTTCTCATAATTGGCAACACGATTTCGGCATTTGTTGTCAACCCTCCGCGCTGATATAAGATCCTCGTCACTTAACATTGGCAATAATATCTCTATAGCTATTGGGAAGCCTGCTTTGTATCATCTGATCCTTATTCGCTACAGCGTCAACACTGTTGCCCATAGTCCTGAGTAGTCCTGTTACATCCCTTTTCGTTTTAATCAGCAATAACATGCTGAAATTATCTTGGCTAGAAATATGGCTCCCTAGCTTCTCGGACATGGATCAGGCCAGGGCAACTAGCACCAACCCCAATCCCTGGGTCCCTGATTAAGCCTAAACCCTACATCCTTAACCCTAAACCCTAAGGCCTAAACGCGAATCCCAAAGCTTGTAACCCTAAATCCTTAACCCTAAACCCAGGCCCTCAAGCCTAACCAGGACACCCTAAGCCTATAGACCCGAAATCCCTAAACCCATCTCTGGGGAGCTTTGTTTGCATGCCGACTCGCTCAGTCTTTTTTCCCTTGGAGTCTAAATTTCGAGAACCTCTAATATCTAAGCTTAAGCATGTATTCAAAACCCCTAAACCCCTGAGCCCTAAACACTAAACTCCTAGCCGCTGTAGACCCTGAAAACCTACATCCAAGGCACACTCTCATCGGAGAAAGGCATGTCTTGCATCGGTCGACTCCATTTGTGGAGTCCTTCAGCCTCCCAATACTGCTTGAATGGCGGGTTTAGGGTTTAGGTTTTATCTGAGTAGCCAAACCTTTGAGATTTTAGGTGCATATTGTTTGAAAAAACCAGACTAACTCGGCAACCAGTTCAGTCTTTGGCCTTTCCGTTGCCGTGTTGATTGAAATGGGGGCTTTGGGTTGCTACGTGGTGTGCAAACCTGCCAAGAAGCGGCCAAAGATTCGAATGTAGCTGGAATACGTCTGAAGCCGGAAAAGCTCAGCAACGAATGGCGGGTCTGAGGTTCGACTGCCACGTGTGCAGCCATCGGGGTGCAGAACCCTCCAACCTGCTAAGCGATGAAGTGTCGTGTAACTAGTCCAGAGCGTCACCTTTGGGTCGCACCGTTTGGAGCGTAGGTTGGTCTGCATGGGGTTTCATAGCCAGCACTTTTTCATCCTCAGCAAGTCCAAGAAGCGTTTGCGTTGTAGAAGCTTCAGTTGAGCCTGAGGACGTTGATGTTGAGTGCTGGTAGCGTGCCGTCGCACGCCTGTCTTGGTGTGTTCGTGTGTCACAAAAGGTAGCCTTTCGCATGTGATTGAAACGGCAGAGAGAACGACAGACATGAAGGAGAGAGACAGAGCTGCAACATCTGCCTAACATTACAGTTTAGATGTCGCATACTGACATATACAGACATGTACATACACATTAAATTCATACATACATACATACATACACACATACATACATCCATGCATACATACATACATACATACATACTTGCTTACTCACCTGCATACCCACTCACGTACTTACTTCATTCCTGACTAACTTACTTGTTTGCGGACTTACTTACTTACTTACTGGCTTGCTTACTTGCTTTCTTACGTGTGCGTTCTCTGCTCATTTACTGAATGCTTTGTATACAGACCGCCATACATACTTTGACTCTTATAAACATACTGTACATACATTGCATATGTAGTGCTTATGAACATACATCGTGACGTGAGCCCGTCTCTCCGTGGCTTGATTCTGTTGGCATGTCAGATGTCTGTACTCGGCACATGCATCTACAGTATACTTAATATTCTTTGCTTGTGTATTGGCAGACACGTACCTGCCCATCCAGGTTCCGCAGAATCAGGTAAGCCCCGTGACCCCCAAAACCGAAGAACAAAGCAACACCGAAGCCACAAATCCTCGACCCGTATCCTTCAACCTGGCGACCTCGAACCCCACCCCTGACGACCATCAGGTTCGAAGGGCTCAGCGAGGTGGTTCCAAAGAGCTTGCAGCCGCTGCCCGAAAAGCACAAGGCCATCAGGGCGGGAGATGTGATTGGGGTTCGTGGTAAAATCAGTTGTTTTGTGGTTCAGACGCTTCAAGGAAGAGATTTTGGGTGAACTTTGTCTCGCCATCGTAAGCTGCACAGTCCATGGTCGCATGGGTGTTAATGTGGCAGATCATGATGCTTCTGCCTGTCACCCACCGGTCCACTGAGAGCATCCAGTCCGTCACGTAACTCACGCCTCCCTGGAGAGTCAACCCCTCATTCCTTAAACCACCCTGAAACCGGGTACAGGGCCACAAAGCTTAAATCCTAGGTCCTCAGTCATAAGTTCTAAACCTCAACACCGTAAGTATTAAAACCTTATAAATGCTAGAGCAGCTAGATCCTAACGCTTAAATCCGAAGTTCTAGACGTGTAACCCTGAATCCTGAAGCCGATCGGCCCTGACTTGGCGCTCCCTGGATCTGACCTGAACTCACGGCTCCCTTCTCGGGCTTAGGGTTTAGGCTATGTAGGAAGCGGCGGCAGGCTCTCCTCAAGGACGAAGAGTTCAATCAGCTTCCCGAGAAGCTGAAGCAGGTGGAGGGGCCTGCGATAATTTAGGGTGTAGGGGTTGAGGGTTTAGGGCCCAAAGGCTCCATGTACCCATGTAGTATACACTTAGACCCGAAAGTACCTATATAGGAATATGGGTACATGGAGCCTTTGGGGGGTGTAAGGGGTCGGGCTATGAGTCGAGACTGTGGTGGGCATGAAGTGGCGTTCAGAAGGTTCCACATGAAGCGAAGGGCATGCGGAGGCTCGGAACAGCGGCCTCTGCCTCTCTCTGTTCCGTGCAGTGCTGAGGGTTAGCCCTAAGCCCTAAACCCTAAACCCTACACCTTAGACCCTCCACCCTAAACCCTCAACCCTAAACTTAAGGGTAGGGTGCCTTGCCCGCCCGATTGAAGGTCAGGCTCGAGGCTGTATGCACCGGACTGCCAAATTAATCCACGAATTAAGTAACCGAGAGGGTTTAGGGTTTATGGTTCAGGGTTTTAGGGTTTAGGGTTTAGGGTGTTATATGTTAACACCCGTCTTGTTAGATGAGTTCCCTCAGCGTGAACATAAACCTTGTCGCAATGAAGGTGAGCGCCCCTTTAGAAAAATAAACGTAAGTCTGATGCAATCGGTCATGACGATGACTTTGTCCAGATTCTGTGTTTCTGAAATGATGCTGCTGCTGATGGGTGGTGGTGGTGGCGGTGGGTGGTGTTGGATGTGCGGCGGCTGCTGCTGCTGCCGGGGCCAGCATCACCATCACGATCATCGGTGTCAGTGTCTTGATGTGACGCTGATACCGGCATGTCTGTCGCATCTCCAAGGCACCTTACTACTCGGATGGAAAGTTGCTGTTCAATGCTGAGAGGCCGGCGTTTCGGTTCAAGGTTTCGGGATTTGGAAGCGGATTTACGGGAGTCCTGACTTCGAGGCATCAAGTTGCTGTCCTAGGAAAGGTATATGAGTAGCGCTCTAAATGAGGGTCCCTTTTCTAAGGTCCTTTTTCATGGGGGGTGCCGTACTATATTGGGGACCTTTATGGGACCCTAATTTGGAGAATTACTCATCTGGGGTGACATTTCTGTGGGCTGGACGTTTCAGCAAGACAGTGGCTGACGACTTGAGAGGTAGTGTATTTGCAGATCTGGTTCTGTTCTCAGGGAGCTTGAGATCTCAATTGGCCCTTGAGTTCTGCTGGTACTCTTGCAAGAGGAAGGCTGATCCAAAGCAATGTCATTGTTAGCATCTCAGTTTGCTCGGCACTACTTTGTTTTCGGTGCAGGGAACCCAAAGGCGGCAAAGGTCCTCGACCCTGTGTTGAACAGAAAACCAGTTGTTGTCTTTCAAAAATCAGCAGAGCGATGACATCCAGCTTTTCGGAGGAATCTCCTGCGGGAGTTCAGAAAGCTCTATGCGTGACTCGGACGGGCTGTCGAGAGAACCCAAGTCGTAAACCTAATACTTGCTGGCAGGTTGCTTTGCAAATGGCAATGCTAAGAATCGTAACTGATATCATGATAAAAATAGCGGTGATGCTTTAAAGACACGTAAATATGACAATGCCAACAATAAAACAAAAGACAGTTTCAGTCCTATTTCTTTATAACAGTAGCACTATTGCTGATAGCCTCCAGTAAATCCCGCACCTTTGAACGACAAGCCCCAAAACCAGGAAGCAAGGATCCTTGTCTAGTTGACCAAGAAGATCTGTGAAGCCAGCAGCTCCTGACTGGGTAGGGGAGACTGCCGGACAGCAACGAACCAAAAGCCCAGCCATATCAGCCTTACAGCTAAATTAAGATCCATTTAAATCATTTGACAGCTCGGGTCGCAGAGTTTAGGAGCATTTAGGATTCGCGCGGAGGTTTTGTTGATTTTGTAAGCTTACGATTACTTAGTGTCCCCCAAAACTTCGACTACAGCCCGCAGAATCCATATTCCTAACCCTACCGGCTAACTCAGCAGAACTCGTATCCCGAGACATGAAACCCCACACCAGACGAAGGGTAAAAGTATTCACAACCGTGCATCACGCATTGTCTGTGCTAACCATGCCTTCAGAGGTTATAGGGTTCAGCGAGTCTAGGGAGTTTGGGGATAATCCGAAGGATTTTTGAAGTACTAAGTACTTGGAGGCCCAGGGGACTTAGTAAGTCGGTTATAAGTAGGGTTATAATTAGGGTAGCTCCAATTTAGGGTTATACATCCTGAACCCTAATCCCTAAACCCTGAACCCTAAACCCGCAACCCTAAACACTAAATCTGAAACCGTAAACCCTAAACCCTAGAAGCCCTAAACCCTAAACCCGAAAAGCCCTAAACCCTAAACCCTAAAAGCCCTAAACCCTAAAAGCCCTAAGCCCTAAACCCTAAAAGCCCTAAATCCCTATAAACCCAAAAAGCCCTAAACCCCGACACCACCCCCTATCCCTTCACTGCTTTGTCTTGCGACTGAGGTATGGACCTGTGGGCTTCTGCAACTCCAAGGACGAGGTGACCGGCCCCGAGGCCGGCGATTTAGGGCTTTTAGGGTGTTTGTTTTTTTTTTTAAAGGGTTTAGGGGTTTAAGGGTTTTGGGTTTCTTAAAGTTTAGGGTGTTTAGGGTTTGGGGTTTTTTAGGGTTTAGGGTTTTAGGGTTTAGGGTTTTTTAGGGTTTAGGGTTTTTGAAGGCTTAGGGTAGGGTTTAGGTTTTTTTTTTTAGGGTTTAGGGTTTTTAGGGTTTAGGTTTTTTTTAGAGTTTCGGGTTTTTTAGGGTTTAGGGTATAGGGTTCAGGGCGTTTCCGGTTTAGGGCATAGGGTTTCGGGTTTAGGATTTAGGATATAGGTTTAAAGGGTTTAGGGTTCAGGGCTTTTAGGGTTTAGGGTTTAGGATTTTGGATTTAGGGCTTTTAGGGTTTAGGGTTTAGGGCTTTTATTAGGATTTAGGGTATAGGGTTTAATTAGGGTGTAGGATTTGGGGTTTAGGGGTTTAGGGTTTAGGGTATAGGGCTTTTATTAGGATTTAGGGTTTCGGTGTAGGGAATGCTTTGTTCTACTGGGGATGTGCTGCGTCTACGTGTGAGACAGGGTGGCAGCCCCGGAGTGAGGGCTGCAGGATTTGGGGCTCCTGTTGTCATTTTGTTCGGGTTTAGGGCTTGGCGCCTTTCTGGCTGTTTCAGCTCATGTTGCGGCCGTCCTCGGTCCCAATCCCTAATCCCTAAAGCCCACGAACCATGAGGCAATGCAGCAGTAAGCTGCTCACCCATCTCAGACAAGAGGGTTTGAGACCGTATAGAAATGCGGGCCCCGTAGACCACTCAAAAGGCGCTGCTGAACGCAGGGATTAATTGGTATCTTCTATCCTTACTGATGACTGGTATGACCATCGCCATTGGGATTCTGATGATGCTGTGGGCGTTTATGGTTGCTGTTCGTGTGGTGCCCGCGTCTAGCCATGGAGGTTCAAAGTTCAAAGCACCGAGACTCCCGGCACAGAAGGTGAAGCAGTTTCTCGCCGAGCTGGTGGCAGAGCATCACTCAGCACACTACAATACCTCCGACTACTCAAACGCAACTGCGCTCAAAGGTTTGGCGGAAGGGTTCTACGCTGAAAGAGGCTTTGGGGATTTGTGGTATTACTGTTGACGGCGAGACTTCGCACTCGCAATGAGTTAACCCTGAACCCTATCAGATATCCTCCAAAACCTAAAAACCTAAACTTTAAACCCTAAGCACAAGGCTTCAGGAAGATGGGCTTCACTGTGTGTTTCAATTTCGTGGCTTCGCATGTCCGAGGACTGGTCGCAATAATCGCGAAAAAGCAGCAAGTGTAGCTACTGGGTCTCAGAGTGTTTTGCGTTTTTTGGTACAGTACTTACAACTGTAGTCAAGCACCTTTCATCATACTGGCAAGTAGTAGTGAAGAGAAGCCTAAGCAGCGGGCTCTAACAATAATTGCTGCATCGAGAACGAAGGGCTACGCTTGAAATGTGCGGCGGCTTTTTTTGGTGTACTATTGCCAGGAGGCGTTTCGGATGCATTAGAGACCCCTCTTTTCTAAGACCTGTGCAGCCCAACAGCTCAACGACCCAAGTCCTTAACTTCCCCTAACTCGATGGCACTTCATGATACCTCTAAGTTTGCCATATGGTAGGGTAGAGGTGCCAAGTGGTGCATACTTGCCGGTGCCCTTAAGCGATTTTGTGATTCAAGTTCCAGCACCTATCGGTCCACTGCTATCTAGGCGATGTCGATGAACTTTGTACACGGTTTTTTTTTCCAGGGTTCCCTTACGCTGATTTAGGCACCGCGTCCTCAAACTCTCAACACCAAACCCTAACCCCTAAACCCTCTTCCGCGGTTCTCAAGACCCCATTCTATCAAAGCTTTTCGACACCAAGACAAGGCCACCTGCATCGAACTCTTTGAGGAGCACCTGATGTCCCTGGACCTTGCTTTTCTGTAAGTTTTGGTGTGCTATCGCATCCCTGTCTCGCGCTTTCTCTCTCTTTCTCTCTCATCCGTTTCTCTTTCTCTCTTTCTCTTTCTCTTTCTCTCTCTCTCTCTCTCTCTCTCTGTCTCTCTCTCTCCCTTTTTCTCTTATGCGTATACGCAAAAATACGAGAGGTCGGCTAAAATGCATAGATACATAATAAGTAGTTGAATCTGTGTGCATACATTAGCAAATCAATCATTATCATATCGCTCAGATACAGCAAAATAGGACCTAAACGTGCTGTCCAGCACTTCCGGAGATTGGTGGTCTTAGCGGTGGAGCGCAAATGTAGGCCCCTGATCGATAAACCCCTCCCATCTCTAGGGATGACATTAGAGATCTCTCCCTCTCTACATAATATATATATATATATAGATAGATATAGATATACAAATATACATATATGTATACATAATAGGCCCTGATCAATGAACACCCTCCCATCTATAGAGATAGCAATAGATATCCTTATAGATAGAAATGTGTATATATGCATGTATAGATATGCGTGTGTATAAATATGTAAATAAATAAATAAATATATATATATACAGAAAGAGGGGAAAGGCCAATTGCCGTAAGTGCAAAAGGAGTTTATCAATCAGGGGTCTACCTCATTGGACATTTCTGGCTTCAGTCACTTCTCCAGAATGATATACTAGCAGACACGCTCAAACTCTGGGTGTGGTGCACGCTGGTGCCTACATTTTGGAAGAAGGTGGGCAGGGAGGGCATTTGTTCCAACATTACTCCTTATAGTTCTCTTAGTTCATTTACACTACAATATCCCCCCATTATTCCTAAACGTTCCCTTAGTATCCCCCCATTATTCCTGAAAGTTCCCTTCATTTATTTACACTACAATATCCCCTCCCCCAAGCCCGATTTTGAGTGTTAAGGTTCCTCTGTTACAGAGGTTCTTGAGGCCTCTCGGTTATCGAGTCGTTGAGTGTAGGGTTGAGGGTTTAGGGTTCGGGGGCTGGGCTTCAAGGATTCTGAAGCTCTCTATAAGCCGCGCCGCGATCAGGTCCATTGTGTGGACTGTCACTGGCTGGCATCGACATGTCGGCACAGTGGGAGACTCGAGCAACTTCAGCCTACCCCTTGAACCCGAACGTGAGGACATATCATATGAGACTATATTGTATCACATTGTTCTATATTATTCTCCTTAAAGCTAAAATGCTAAATTAAACTTCTGAGACCCTAGCTTAGGGATTCGAGTTCAGGGTTGCCCTCTCATCGAGCCTAACCCCTAAACCCCGAAACCCCTAAGCCCTAAGCTCTAAGCCAAGCCCTAAATCGTCCTGAGGCGACTACTATCGCGACCCCGAGTTGGCGAGCTTCTCATGGAGAGAGAACGAGCGATCCGCCAGGCAGATTTCGGGTTCACATATATATATATATATACATACATATATACATACATATATACATATATATGAAAAATATACGTATTTAACATTGTATATATATACATATGTGTAGGTGTATGTATGTATATGTACATGTACATGTACATGTATGTGTAGGTGTAGGTGTAGGTGTAGGTGTATATGTCTATGTCTATGTCTTTGTGTGTGTATGTGTATGTGTATGTGTATGCGTATGGGTATGTGTATGTGTATGTGTATGTGTATGTGTATGTGTATGTGTATGTGTATGTGTATGTGTATGTGTATGCATGTATGTATGTACGTATGTATGTGTATATATATAGAGAGAGAGAGAGATCACAACAAGAGCAACAACAAGAACCATACACATAAGAAGAAGAAGAAGAACAGTAGTAGTGACAGTACAATTAACAACAGGAGGGGTCGGACAATTTAGTGGCACTATTCCTTACATGTTTAGGGTTCCCGCTTTATGATGAGAGTGCAGAATTCCCCCACCCACCCCCCCCCCCCCAGACCCTCCCCCCAGATCCCGTTCTACATATGAAGAGGCCCTATAGCGGTGAGGACTGTGGGAAAAGGATTTCAGGATTTCGAGAGCTGTGTCAAGGAATGCGAAGGTTTTCGTTTTGAAGTTTATGCTTAGGCTTGACTTTGGCAGGGTTTAGCACTTGGGATTTAGGCTTTAGGGTTCCAGTTTTCTGAATTCAGGATTTCGATGTCTGCTGCCAGTACAGATTACAAATTTGACGTTTCTGTCGGACATGTCGTGTCTTCTATGGCCGCGTGCAAATAGATATGGACATAAGAAACGTGCATGCAACGGCAGACTTGCAGACCTGGGCGAATGCAATTGATGAGAACGGCTTTGCAAGGCTGTTTAGCCCTAGTCGAGTCGAGCAACTTAACCTCAGTTCCTTGACAAGAACCCAGAATGACGGCGCATTGGCAAACGTGATTACAGCATGTGTAGTTAAAGCCTCTCTTGCCCCACCCATGAGGTCATACCTATTCCTCTTAAGGGTACATACTTTTTTATGTAACAGATCCCAGCCATTCAACTAGGTACCCTACAGAAAGGGGCGGGTGTGACACTCTAGGTAGACAACCACCCGAAGAGAGAGCATACTTCCCTTTAATCGTTGAACATCTCTAGACCCGAAACCCGCACTACGAATGTAGAAGCCTCAATATTAATTTACGAGGCCAGCATCATTGCTCAATCCCTCCCTATTTCTAAGGGTTCCTTATTGTGAGTGTAGTCTACATCGCCAAACCCCATTCTAATTATTCAGGCCCTTGTAATACCCTATACACATATCCATGTACCCAAATAGTATATACTTTGGCCTTAAAGTAGTCCCTAAAAAAGGTACTTTGGGGCCAAAGTATATGGGCACATGGACCCTTAGGGATAAGGCTGAATTCACCCTAAACCCTAAACCCTAAACCCCAAACCCTAAACCCTAAACCCCAAACCCTAAACCCTAAACCCCAAGCCCCAAACCCTAGACCCTAAACCCTAAACCCCCTGACGAGGTCCAAGTCTCAAAAGCCGGACTTCCAGTCATCGGCCCCGAAGTCTTCAACACCAGACCGCCAGACCCTGAACCCGAATATCCCCTGCAACAGCTTAGGGCCTAGGTGTAGTGTATAATAATAATAAGAATAATAGTACTCATCATCATCATCATCATCATAGTATAATAGCTATGGCGTAGCGCTTAGGGCATAATAACTATATATGGTGTATAAGGTTTCGAGTACGAAACGTACTGTGTAGGGTGCTGGGCATAATGATATTTTGGTTTCGGGTTTTGTTGAGGGTCTAGTAACCCTGGTTTGTGGCTTGGCCGAGACCTGCCCTACTACCTTATGTCGACTGCCAGCGCCCGGTTTTATCCTGAGTTCAGCGGTGCACATCAAGGCTACAACAGCGAGTGGAGGACCTGGAATTGGGCTTTGAGGGTTTAGGGTTTAGAGTTCAGGGCTTAGGGTTGAGGGGTCTAGGGTTTATTTAGGGTTAACAACGAGCACTAACAGCCCTGCACAAGCTGTTATATCGTGCTAGCAGACTACACCCCGAACCCTTTTGTTCAGACTTTCTGGAAGAATGTGTTGGCAAAGGAGTTACACGTAAGACCTTAAAGCCCTCAATCCCAAGCGAAAGGCCTTTGCAGCACATGCAGATGACAACTGTGGCTGTCTTTACATCTGCCTTGCAGCCCAAGATCATCGAGGACTACAGCAGCCCGTCCTGATCCTTCAGAGGGATTTACACTCTAGGCCTCAGGCTTTCGATCGTTTGCATGGAGTTTTGCTTTAGGGGTTCACTATGAGGGCTCTTATATGCGGTTTATGCTTTCGTAGAATTTCATCCAGGCTTTGTACCAGAATGACTTACATAGTTTGTTCCCGAAACTCCCGTCTGGATGTTGGGAACCCGAACAAAGTTTCACAGGGCTTTGGCTTTCCAACGTTCAGACGACCCGTTTCAAAGATGGCTTGGGGCGTGGCATGCGTATCGCCATCCTAAAACTAAAAAATTTTTCCTAAGCCACAACCCCAGCAAGTTTACAGACCCTAAACCCTTAAACCCGAAACCATACCAAACAATGCAAACCCTCTCCCTCCTGCCCTCGCCTTCATTGAAACGTATCACTTTCAACAAAGCGTTTTGCTTTAGGAATTTGCGTTGTCGTGGCTTGCTCTTGTTTCTAGCAAGACATCTAGAATTTCTGCTGACAACAGCCTGGACGAGGTGCCACATGGTCTATAGTGTCCCTCAATCGAAGGATCCACATACTTACAGAACTGGATACATAGGTCGATCGACAAATGGATAGATGTTTACATAGCTACACCCCAGCCCTAGAGTCCGCGACGACTACGTGGGCAGTTGGATCCGCACGATGTGGGTTTGATTTTTTTTGTTCCGGTCACAACTGCTTGACTGAATTTCCCGTTAGCAACCGCCATGGCCGGTATTGCTTCTTCGGCGTTTTGGCCTCCGGAAGTTTTGACATTTTAGCCCAACCTGAACTCAACGGGCAACACCCACCACCCCTCAAGCCTAAACCCCTCATCAACCACACCAAGCATGTGGGGCCAGGGTTGCGGCCAAAGGAACACTGACTATGCCCCTGCATCTGTCCAGCCTGGGTTTGGGCTCCATGGTTCTTCTTAGCCACACGTGGGGGTTTCCGAAAATAGGCTATATAGCAGGATCCTTATTAAAAGGACCCCAAAATAAGGTACCCTAATTTTCGGAAGTCCCATGTAAACAGGAGAACTGACTTGCGACATCTCACAAGGAATCTCCAGCATCATGTTCAGCATCATTTATCGTGCAGTCGACTGGTTCTGCCATGCTGCTGACCATTAAAGTTAAGTCATAAGGCACTTAAAGAATCAGAAACTGTGTAAAGGATTTCCGACTCTGTTGCAGAAAAAAACTGAAGTCCTAACATGTAGAATCCAACCCTGAACTCGTGATCGGGCCGGTCCCAAACAAACAACGAAGGTCATGTCTTTCAAGGCATCTACAAGGAGCAGGTGACTGGCTGAGAATAAGCTGGTTCGTGCTTAGTAGAGGGCTATCCCGGGTTGTGATGGAGTGTTTCGAGGATGGCTTCAACTGCAGCTTTTGACCCCTTTAGGGTTTCCTAAACCCTATACCCTGAACCCTAAACCCTAAGCCCTAAACCCTAAACCCTTAGTTCGCAGATGGAAGTCGGAAGTCTGAAATGTTGGGGCTTCGTGGATGTCTCGGATTGAGCTGTCGTTTGTTGAACTCTTCTTGTTTTTGTCTGATAGTCAGCGGAGCCAGAATCCGCAGCGGCTCCATGTCGCTCCTATCCTCGATACCAGGCCATGCCTGAACCTATCTTGAATCATTCTGGTGTTTGCTGCTGGCCGCAGGCGAAGATTTGTGGCACATGCATGTGGTGCGTGTGACCAGAGCGCACACACACACACACATAGTCGTCGCTAGTGGTCGCCTCGGTTCGAAGTGTGGTTATGTGCCCACGAACAACACGAGGAGATGGTGAAGCTGATGGACAACTTTCGGTCGGAGCTGGAGCAGGTGAGCCGGGTGTAATGCTCATCTTGCCTCGTGCTGGCTCGGCGCAGTAACCTCATTCGTTATCGATGCATGATTCGATTCAGAGCTCCCTGCGTGCTGTTGCGTTTTGAAAGGGCAATGTCGTGTTTTAGGACTTGAGCTTGCTGCATGTCGACATGCAATGTGAATCATTGCGAAAGAAGATGACAGGTGCAAACATCGAGTCAATCCAATCATCATCAGCTGCTTCTTCTTGTTCATCGTCATCGTCATCTTCGCCTCCACCACGACGACCACCATCACCACCACCACCATCATGATCGTCCTCATCGTCACGACCACTGCAAACAGCAGCATCACCACTGTCCTGAGCAACAACGACCATTCTATGACAGGCGCCAAACCATGACAACCGACACCGCCAGCATCACCCTGGACATGAACATCATCGCCATCATCGTCATCATAATGTGTTTCCCCACTGGTCGACATCGTCATCCTTATCAATGCTGTCTTCATCACGATCATCACCATGTCCATCACCATGTCCGTCTTTTCCTCTTTCTCCGTTGTCATCGACATTTCTGCTTGGAGTGACCCTGCACAATCGTCGTCTGGTTGCCAGGGTGGAGGTATTCAACTTGGTCGTGAAGTTGTTCCAAATTATGCCTTCACTCAGAGACCTGACAAAAAAGAGAATTCTACGATATGGACAAGCGCCGTAGACGCAGGTAAAGTCTCGAGAAGATCTCAGTTCTACCCAGAAGTCCTAAGTTCTGTCGACAACATGAAGCCTTTGAAAAAGAGATGCACGGCAGAGTTAGCACGGGATACCAAGTAAACCATAAACCCCAAACCCTAA